CCCCCCCCCGGAAATATGGAATTCATCATTATCATTTATTTCATTGCCTTTCCTCAGCCAGTTTACATCATAACTGCAGGATGAAATTCATACTATAATTGTATGCTGAGTGGCAGATTTGGGTTAGGTTTTTGTCGTTGCTGTTTTCACAAACGTTCTTCTTTTGCACCTTAACCTGCTTCCAATATCCATATTGCAGGAAAGTCTAGTTGAGTATTGTTCTAACGTTACTATTATCATTATTTTTTGGTGCCTTTTGTGGTGGTGAGGCTACTTATTCATGAATCTTGTTACGCTGTCTGTTGTTCTATTTAAATTTTTAAATGGCATATTTCATAGTTGGGAAATTTACATACGTAGCAAACGATACTTGTGTATTTGCATAACTCGCACTAAACTTTTCATATTTACATACACGGCATTTTACTGTTTTAAACTCGTGCATGAAAAATGTATTTCACTTGTGCTATTTTCGTTGTGATACTAAAAATTTGAATCATATGCTTGTAAATATGAAAGTTTAGGTGTGATATAAGTAAATACATAAGAAGTGTGTGCCATGTATGTAAATTCCCCTTATTTATAGTATATGTGGTTATGATTTTTTTTTTTTTTTTTATATAAATCATATAAAGTGGGGGCTAAAGGCATCTCAAACCTCTCCTTGATTCAACCATTAAGGGTTAGCTCCTTCCTTAGGCCCTCACATTTGCTTTGTTATAATATAAACAAAGAAAATTGAGGGCTCATTTCACTTTAGGTCTCCTCTTAAGGATTATTTAGCTATCAAATATAAAAATATCATAAAAAATATAGAATGGTTTACATGCAAATCATAATTATAATGTATTTGTATGCATTACCTTGTCATGATAGTGATATGTTTGATTTTTGGTTTGAATGTAAAAGCTAAGTGTTAGTGTTCAATATGTAAATGCATAGGAATTGAGTGGTGTGCATGTAAATGCCCTGAAAATATAATGTTCAAAAAATTATTTTTGATGTTATAATTTTTTATCACTCTATGAAGGAGTTACATAATGTATTTCTCATATCTCTACTCTTGAAGTACATGATTGTGAAATACTTGTTCATATCTTAAGAAGTTCTAAGAAATATGATCTCGATTTATAAGATAAGATCGTGCAATAAGTTAAAACAAAAGTAGATGTCGACTTCTGCAATGCCTCTAATTCAAAGGGAAAGCCAAGGCTTAAATATCATTACGATATGTCTTAGATTTTGGATTTTATGATTTTTTTGGCAGATCAAAACTCAATGGTTTCTGAACAGCAAGCTCGCGACTCGCGAGCCAATTAGTGAGCTCGAATGAAATTGTCATTGGAGCACATTTGAGAATTCATCCAAGTGATTGATGGCAGAGGAAAGTGAGAATTGTTGCGACGGATTCTAGAGCAGACATGACAACGTAAGAATTTGACTAGTTGAGCCGTCTTGCGATCCAATGAGTTGATCCTCAATGGGCTTGAGCTTATACTCATCGCTCAATCAGCTTGACTTACGGGCAAGTTAACTGGTTGAGCTCGAGACAACACGCGAGCTCATTTGGCTCCCTTGCACCCTTGAGAAATTTTAAATTCTATCTTGGATGGTATTCCAAAATCAAACGATCCAATCCTAAAACTGTCCTACCATAAATTATTGCATTATGGGTTCGAGGGGAGAATGGTAATCAATTAACTGATCACAAATTAAATGTTTAAATTATTATTATTATTATTATTTCCATTCTTTATATATAAAGACAGTCTCATTTTAAAATTATCTAATTTATTTTAATGCTTATTTTCTTACATTTCATAAAACATTTTTTTTATTAATAATTTTTCATATTTTAATTTGATTAATTAGTTATCATTTAAGAAAATATTAAATTAATTTAATCATCACAGTTCAACCTCATTGATTGAAAAAATACTTCAAAAATATTTTTCATTGAAGTGTTATGAATACAAAAATTAAAAGGGGCATTTCCATACATATCACCCAATTCATAAGTATTTACATATCTAACACCACTATACCACCAAAATATTTTATATTAAATTAAAAATTCCACTAGTTTAGCTTTTTAAGTGAATGCACTCTTTTATTTATAGGTAATATATATAAATATTGTAAATACATAAGAATTAAGTGGTATGTATGTAAATATTTTAAATTACAATTTTTGGTGCTAGATACATAAATTCATAGGAATTGTGCGGCAATTACGTAAATAACCCAATAATTTTAAACAAAATAAAAAATTAATGGTGGCGAAAAAATTTAGATGAGCCCGAACCATTCTGTGGTTGGGGGAAGGATAGGGCGCGAGTGAACTCGGTGCATGGTACGTCGCCCTCACCGGATAAAATCCTCTATTTTTATCTCTTTTTCCAATCTTTTAATATTAATAATATTTTTTTTTTCTAATCATATTTTTTATTTTTCCGCCACCCCCACCAAACACTTGTAAAATAAATTCATATAAATCATTATTAAGGGTCCGTTTGGGGCAGTTTATAAGTGCGTGAGCACTTTTAAAAACACCGTAGTACCGTTTGGATTGTGAGTTTTGACCGTTTATTCGAATATATGGTTGATACGCTAAACGCAGGCCGCGAGTCGACTGCCTCAAACACGAAAAATTATTGCGTACATACACTGCATGCAGAGATGCATGCGGTGTTCGATCCTCACCGTAGACACGGTGATCTACGATCATGATGCAATCAATTTTTTTTTTTTAAATTTTAAGTAGGGCTCACCGAAATATATTCTGACCGTAGATTATCGTGATCTACGGTCATGATTGGACACTACATACAGAAATACATGCAGAGTGTATGTATGCAATAATTTTGACTCAAGGGCACATTAAATCAATATTTCAGAAAGCTGTAAATCTAAACACGAATCATAAAGCCGATCAAAGGGATTTAATAAATAGGCGCACGAGGGGTGAAGAGTTAAAAGAGGGAGAGGGAACGGCCGGAGGAGAAGGAGGGGGATGGCAATGGCGACGGCTCTCCGGCGGCTGTCCTTCTCGGCTGAAGCGAAGAGATTGCATTTTCTATCTCCGGCTTCTCTCTGCTTCATGGTTTTCTTTTCTATCTTCTATTTCCTTCTCTGTTTTCTCGGCCGGAGAGTGTCTCATTGATTTTGTTTTGCTTATTCTAGTCTTCTCTTCCGAGCGCGGCCGCTTCTTACGAGAAGGATGGATCCCGCGTCACGGTGAGTTACTGGGCTTGTTCGTGTTTTTTCGATTTTGGTATTTCTAGGGTTTCAATTGGAGTCTGTTATGGTTTATTTTGAATTATGGGGTTATGAATTGTGTGCAGTGGCCTAAGCAGCTTAACGCGTCTCTTGAGGAGGTGGATCCGGAGGTTGCCGACATCATCGAGCTCGAGAAGAACAGGCAGTGGAAGGTGGTTTTTTTCTTTGATTGTTGCTTTGAATCTTTAGATTCTGTGCTTTGATTAGCTTGTTGGATGTGTCGGATAGAGGAATGAGGATGAAATGCTGCTTATGATTACGGATGATGAAGGGAAGCTTAGCAATGTTTCTATTTTGGCTTATTTATTTATTTATTTTTTGTTGTTGTTGAATCCTTATGTTCTGAGTTCAGTGTTTTATTAGGGTTTGGAGCTTATACCTTCGGAGAATTTTACATCGGTGTCGGTGATGCAAGCAGTTGGTTCTGTCATGACTAACAAGTATAGCGAAGGGTACCCCGGTGCTAGATATTATGGTGGAAATGAGTAAGATCTATATATGGCCCCTTTTGAAAACTTTATTTTCTTATTGAGATTGTGAAGTATTCTGAACCATTGCCTGCTGCTCGCTAGATATATTGACATGGCGGAGACCTTGTGCCAAAAGCGCGCTCTTGAAGCCTTTAGGTTGGATCCTAAAAAATGGGGAGGTAACTGATTCAAACTTGGGCTTCTCTATTTGTTTCTTCCTCAGATGTATGAGCTTCAAGTAAAAGGCACGTCCTTTAAGATTTTGTTTGTCATATGTGCTATTGACTGCTGAATTGTATTTGTTTATCACTCAGCTCTAGAGTTTTGCCGCTCATCTGTCATAGAACATTTAAATGATTGAATGATGTACCTACATACCACTCAATTCTTATGTATTTACATATCTAACACCTGAACTTCAACGTTTACATACATGCCACCTTCCTTATGCTTGAAACTGTGTATTTTACTTTTTATTAGTTTAATTTTTAGTTAAAATGGTGGTATGTTTTCAGATAGTCTCCTTGATCTGAATGTTGTTGCAGTACTTTGATTTTTCATTTAATTTTAACTAGAGTTTCAATCAACTAATCATCTAAAAGTTTCAGCATGTTTCCAAAATGTTCTGTTGGCAATGTCTTGACTTGTTTGGACATTGAATACTATAATTAGTTCATCTCTTTTTGTTTTGCTCATGCAGTGAATGTACAGTCTCTATCTGGATCTCCAGCTAATTTTCAAGTTTATACGGCTCTTTTGAAACCACATGAAAGAATAATGGCTCTAGATCTTCCTCATGGAGGACACCTTTCACATGGCTACCAGGTTGGTGCAGTACTCTGTTGGATTTTACTTCTGCTAGATTATTGGTTTATTTTTCTGTGTTATTAGTATGTAATAAACAATGTCATGTGTTTCATTCCGTGTCACATACTGATTGTAAGGATAGCAATTCTTGGATGTAATTGAAATTTGTTTATCAGATGATAATGCATAATTAAGGTTATTATTTTTTCCCAATTGTTTAAATAATGAACGAGTTTCCAAAGAATTAAACTCCAAAAGATATTTTTTCTTCTATTCGGCGGATCCTTGTAAATCTAATTCAAGCGAACTGATTAATGTAAATGATCTGATTTTCCTATTTCTTGCTGCATTGGATGGCTGCAAAGTTTAAATGCTTAGACTTGAAATGCTAAATGTTGAAAGGATATCATTAGTTTGGATATTTCCTTTGTGTCACTTTCCAAGTATAATTAAATTTGTACTATATAATAATCAATTATTAGACTGCAAATTTGAATTCTTTTGCAATCTATTGGTTGAAATAATCAACCTATATACTGTTCAAGATTAACATAAGGTCTATCTTGATTCTTAATTTGAGCTGTAAGATGCAAAAAAATCTTTTATGTATTCTTTTATTGATATGAGCAATCACACTAATTTTTATTATATGCTTTAATTAAAGCCTATATGGGAAAAAGAATGTTTATATTGACTCTTTTAATCCCTTTTTTTTCTGTGAATTCTGGAGAACTATTTATTATTTTGTGATTTCAAAATATGAGCTACTTTTATAGCAAAATAATTTTAACTTCTACTCCTTAACTTGTTATGCTTGTATTTTTGTGCATAAATAAGTATTTGGATATCTTGAAAGGCTTCATTTTGGTT